ACAGAAAAGATATGGTTTGAGGAATTTTACAAACTCTGAAAGCTGTAAGGGAAAAACAACAAAGCAATGGAAAAATGTAAAAAATGGTCTGGCCACCTGGGTTTAAAAGAGAAGCCTGTCAGGAAAAGGGTTAAACAGCATCCCCACCAGCCATGTTAAAGGATAACTAAACCCTAGAACAAAATGTATTATTATATTGCAGCTTACTGCCCTTATATACGGTAGCTGAATTTTTTTTTTTTTTCAAACTTAGAACATTTTCAAAATGTACAGAAAATACCAATTGATCCTGTCAGAAATGCAGTATTCTTGTCACTTCCTGTGAGCTGCACCAAAAAACAAATCTTCCTTCCTAGATATCTTGTGTAAACCACCAATTTCTCTGCCCATGTGTAATGGAGATGAACAGATATGGACATGTTTGTAGTCCATATCATGAGTGCAGTCTAAGGTTACAGCCATAGCTCCTTCCACAGACACCATGGAGAAGTGAACCAGGTGTGAAAATAAAGCAAAAGTACCTTAACCACTTGCCAACCTGCCACAGTACATATACACATGTACGTCATTGTGCCTGCTCGGGTTAGGAGCCCGCTGTGTGCACGCTGGGGAGCGCGGAGTGCTCTTCCTCTGACCACTTTGTCCACCAGACAGATATGATTGGTCATAGTGATCACATGATACAATGGAAACTACCTGTCATGATTGGCTTTCCCTTCATGAACAGCTTGCTTACTGATCTGTGATTGGACCAAAGCAATCTGTGCTACCCTTGTACCATGTGATTAGCTAAGCAATCACAGATCACAACCAAAAGCAAGCTGTTCATGAATGGTTAACCCATTCATTGCAGTTAAAACTATTGCTTAGTCAGTGATCTTCACTGTATAACTCATAACAAGTAAAAAAAAAAAATCTCTGTTTTTTTAACATACTATCACTAGTCAGTGTCCCTGATCACCACCGCACCAGTCATATAATGACACTGTAGTGCTCTGGTGACAGAATGTTAAAAAAATTGTGCAAAAAAAACCCCAATTTTTTTCTAATTTCTTCATTTTCCAAAACGTTGTGACAAAAAATTACAGCTTCATAAAACTCAGCACACCTCTTTCTAAATACCTCAGACTGTCTACTTTGCAAAAAGTGGGTAGTTTGGGAGATCATTTGTCAGTACATCCTGGCATTTGAAGGGCCTCAAGAAATGAGATAGGCTGTCAGTACATCAGGATTGAACGATTTTCAAATACTGTATGTATATCATAGTTTGTAGACACTATAACTTTCACACAAACCAATAAATATACACTTACTGAGATTTTTTTCTTTGCCAAAAACATGTAGCAGAATACCTTTTGGTCTAAATTTATGAAATTTGATTTTTTAATTTTTTTTTTGTTACTGGATATGTTTTATAACAGAAAGTAGAAAGTATTGTTTTTTTTTAAATGTTCTGTCTTTTTTGTTTATATAATAAAAATATTAAACCCAGTGGTGATCAAATACCACCAAAAAAGCCCTATCTGTGTAAATAAATGATATAATTTTAATTTTGGGGCCAGTGTTGCATGACCACGCAATTGCCAGTTACAGTAGCGCAAAGCTGAATAGCGAAAAAAACCCTGGGCATGAAGGGGGTAAAACCTTCCAGGGCTCAAGTGGTTAAAAAGAAAACAAATGCAGCCACCACACCAACAACTGTTGACCTGAAACATATTAAATTTTTGGTTTTGGGATCCGAAATGCTTTAAAACCTCGACAGCAACATTGTACATTGTAAGGAGATGGTGGTCCTGACCGGGCAGCCAAATGTCCTAGAAGTCCTCTGCTCACTTGAAAGAGTACGTTTGAAAGAGTGGTTTAGGCACATTGTTCCATTTTCAGATGCAGAACCTGCTCAGCCTCCAATAGCTGTGTGTGGGGCTTGCTTTTCAGAGGGGCATCAAGGGCTGCAATTTAAAGGATAAGTTCACCTTTGGGGGAGAAGTTTCCCTGTACTATCTGTCAGATTTGAAAACAGCACGGCCATGTGGGGCTCCGCCCACACTGCTGTACCGCTCATTCACAGAGTTCTGTGAACAAGTGCCTACAAGTCCCTGCAGCCTTAGTGGCTGTGGGCTTGCAGTATTCAATGAACTACCACGGAGCTGTGGAGCACCTTGGTAGTTCATTGAAGCTTCCTGTCAGAATATCTGCTTGCTCATACGGCAAGCAGATATTCAGATAGGTCTGCAGGAGACCTGCATGGCATCAGTGATCTACTGATCGCTGGTGCAATGCTTTACAAGCTTTGCAGACAAAAATAATAAATGCACATTTTTTTACCTGCAAAAAAATGTGCATTTATTATTATTTTGTGTGTAAAAGGTGAACTTTTCCTTTCAGATCTCTGTCTCACATGCATAACAACACATACTAAAGGCAATTTTGGATAGGGCCAATTAACCTACCTGCATGTTTTTGGAGTGCAGAAGGAAACCTACTCCAAAAACAGGGAGAAGATGTAAACTCCATGCAGGTAGTGTCTTGGCTGACATTCAAACCATATACTCCAATGCTGCAAAACATAAGTGGATTGGAGAGTCACCCTCACTTCCATTTTGGTGAAATTGTTGTCACAATGACAGGAAGTGAGTTAAAATGTCTCCCACGGAACCCCAGATAGTGGTTATAACTTGATAGGGGTTCTAATCTGTTACAGAATTCTCATAATTTCTGCCAGGACTTCTCAAACTCCTTATCTCAGAATCCCTGTGTAGTAAGCCTATGTGAGCGCACACATCAGATAAAGCAGCTTAGCACAAAGGTAACCAAAGTAACAAACCTCATAGAAAATAGTAAAATAATAGTGCAGCGCTAAAACATTATAGTCATAAAATTAGTAAAAATACTGTATTAAAAGTTCATAAAAAATAAATGAAGTTGATAAAGTGACTTTCAGTGCTCTTATGGTGCTTTCAATTCTGATACGTCTGTGCTTGTGCAGTGATATGAGAATTGCGCATTCACCAGATGTGCAATAAATATGTGCCAATAAGATAATATCATGAAGTCATCAAGGTAGGTATGGTATTTGTGGTGACTTCCCTCTGAAGAGCAGGGTGATAGGATGGTCAAATCCTGGGACTTTAAATGCTGACCCAACACAGCCAGAGCTCCCCTTTAGGGCTAAGTGGATGCTACTTCCTGGATAGGTAGGAGGATCCCTGTCAGGAATGGACTAGCCAGCAATGGTGGGACTCACCTGCCTTTTGATCTGCAGTACCAGGGCTGGCCAGCGGATGCTCCCAGCAATCAGAGACTCAACTTTGCAGCCAGCTAACACCTGGAACTGATTATGCTGGGGTATTTAAGGGATGGCCAGACTTGCAGACTCTGCCTTGGTGTTGTGTTTCTCTTGGGCCCTGTATCCTGTTCCTGCTCTCTGTTCCTGTCTGATTCTCTGCTACCTGTTCTGATCCCTGGCTTGTCTGACCATCCCTCTGCCTGACCCTCTGTACTACGCTGCCTGCTACCTGTTCTGATCCCTGGCTTGTGATCCTGACCATCCCTCTGCCTGACCCTCTGTACTACGCTGCTAGCTACCTGCTGAACCTGGCCTGTGACCCCGACCAATCTCCGCTTGCTCCCCCTGTACCTACCTGCCCTATTGATATTGACCCGGCCTGCCTGATGACGCTTGCTTGTATGTACTGTTATCTGTGGGTGGTTGGTTTGGTTTGTTTGCACTGTATTATGTTTAGTATTGCACTGCGTTTATGTTTGTATTGTTAGTGTTAATAAATTATATTGTTTATAACATATCTGAGGTCTGCGTTTCCCTGCGTCAGTCACACACCTCTGGTCACACCTGGGAGCCCTGACATTACACCAAGGCCAATCCTGACCAGAAGTGGCTGCACAGGGAAGCCATCTTGGCTTGTTGCTGGGAAGGATGGATCTGGATGAGGTTGTGTATTTATATCTGCTAGTGTTTGATGACAGGGAGTATGCTTATCAAACTCTGAAGGAGTATCCCAGGGATCAACTACTAGAATGTATACGGATCGCTCATGTTCTAGTAGATCAGGGCACAGAGTTCTCTGAGGTGCAGCCATTGATTGAGGTTTGTGCTGAGTTGGTTTCATCTGGTTCCCCCGAATGCAGGGATGAATTTTTGCCACCATTTAGTGCAGACCAGGTAGAGTCCCTGTGTGGTTATTAGAGGATGATGTGGGTTACTTTCTGGAGCGTTATTCCACATGTTCACCACAGACACTAAGAGATTGTATAAATGCAGTGCAGTCATTGACCAGACAGGCTTTGTGTAAGCTCAGCTTTGTTCAACCCATACTGCAGACATGGACAGACTTGTTGCACCCAGCCTCAGTCAGCTTACAAAAACCCAGTCCTGCTTCTAACTCTACTCCTGTATTCCCACCAGCTCCTCCAGTTACAGCCCAGTATACTTGGCTATCTACCGCATGTCAGTACCCTGTTCCCACTCGCTGCACCTATCCTGCCTTTAACCCTGTAAAAAAGCCCTCTGTAGCAACTGCTCCCTCTCCTGTTCCATCCTCCAGTTTTTCTCTGTCTCCAGCTGCTCCATTCGTTTTCAGACCTGCGTTTACTTGCAGTGCTCCAGTAGTTAAAACCAGAAAAAAGCGAAAATTCTTTCCAACCAATACCATCCTGCCAGTATCCAAACGGGTGAACCTGCCTTCCGTGACTCAGCCTGAAGCCTCTACTCAGCCTGAAGCCTCTACTCAGCCTGAAGCCTCTACTCAGCCTGAAGCCTCTACTCAGCCGGATGCCTCTCTTCAGCCTGATGCCTCTCTTCAGCCTGATGCCTCTCTTCAGCCGGATGCCTCTCTTCAGCCTGATGCCTCTCTTCAGCCTGATGCCTCTCTTCAGCCTGATGCCTCTCTTCAGCCTGAAGCCTCTACTCGGCCTGATGCCTGCATTCAGCCTGATGCCGCTACTCAGCATGATGAACTGATCCAGCCCGACGATCCTATTAGGCCAGTTGACTCGATGCCCGCTGTTGATCCAGATGATCCGGTACCTGATCCAGTGCCCGCTGTCGTGCCAATTGACTCAGAGCCCGCTGTCATACCTGGTGACCCAGTGCCCACTGCCTTGCCAGATGACGCGGTGCCCGCTGGCAAGCCAAATGACCTGATGCCTGGTGACCCAGTGCCCGCTGTCATACCTGGTGACCCGATGCCCGCTGTCGAGCCAGACAATCCGATACCTGATGACCCGGTGCCCACTGTCGTGCCTGTTGACTCAGAGCCCACTGTCTTGCCAGACGACTCGGTGCCCGCTGTTCCGCCAGTTGACTCGGTGCACGCAGTCTTGCCAGACGACTCGGTGCCCGCTGTTCCGCCAGTTGACTCGGTGCCTGCAGTCTTGCCAGACGACTCGGTGCCTGCAGTCTTGCCAGACGACTCGGTGCCCGCAGTCTTGCCAGAACGACTCGGTGCCCGCAGTCTTGCCAGTTGACTCGGTGCCCGCAGTCCCGCCAGTTGACTCGATGCCCGCTGTTCCGCCAGTTGACTCGATGCCCGCTGTGTGCCAGTCTTTGATATGCCAGTTACCAGACCGGGCGGTGGAACATTTTGCCCAGCTAGGACTGTTTGGAGCGTCCTGAGGGCCGCTCCTTGAGGGGGGGTACTGTCAGGAATGGACTAGCCAGCAATGGTGGGACTCACCTGCCTTTTGATCTGCAGTACCAGGGCTGGCCAGCGGATGCTCCCAGCAATCAGAGACTCAACTTTGCAGCCAGCTAACACCTGGAACTGATTATGCTGGGGTATTTAAGGGATGGCCAGACTTGCAGACTCTGCCTTGGTGTTGTGTTTCTCTTGGGCCCTGTATCCTGTTCCTGCTCTCTGTTCCTGTCTGATTCTCTGCTGCCTGTTCTGATCCCTGGCTTGTCTGACCATCCCTCTGCCTGACCCTCTGTATACGCTGCCTGCTACCTGTTCTGATCCCTGGCTTGTGACCCTGACCATCCCTCTGCCTGACCCTCTGTACTACGCTGCTAGCTACCTGCTGAACCTGGCCTGTGACCCCGACCAATCTCCGCTTGCTCCCCCTGTACCTACCTGCCCTATTGATATTGACCCGGCCTGCCTGATGACGCTTGCTTGTATGTACTGTTATCTGTGGGTGGTTGGTTTGGTTTGTTTGCACTGTATTATGTTTAGTATTGCACTGCGTTTATGTTTGTATTGTTAGTGTTAATAAATTATATTGTTTATAACATATCTGAGGTCTGCGTTTCCCTGCGTCAGTCACACACCTCTGGTCACACCTGGGAGCCCTGACAATCCTCTCTGGGTACTGGGATGGATCGGTCTCACACACAAGGCATCTGCAAATTCAATGCTCCTCTCAGTTGTTAAGACTCAGGAATAAGCCCATAGTGTAGTATGTTTAAATCATTTATTTGAAATCACAGGTAAAACCGAGTACATTAAAGCAGATAGCAGTAGAAAACTAGGACTAACCGTCCTGTAGTAAAGATGGCCGCCGGAACTCCACATTGCTCCGGCGGCATGATGTCACGGCGTAGTTGGCTCCTGCTTACGCGTTTTGTGAACCCGCACATCATCAGAGGGGATCGCCAACAACACCGTGCCATGCGCCATCCGTATATATATGCAATGGCGCATGCGCATTAGACAGGCGCCATCTTAGAAGAGACCAAACTTAGTGTGCACGTGCAACCAAGCGGGCGCCATTTTTCCATGGATTTTTAAGTGTTAGCAACCGCTAATGACAGCTTAAGTCTTAGTGATGTTTGCATATGTAACAAAAAAACGAGTAAAGATTATAATCACATCAAGACTCAATTTGGATGGTAAATTAAAGGTAAAAGTGAAAAATGAAGAAATATGTAAAAAAGGACAGATTATTAACGTCCAAAAAAGGGCTCTGAGCCATGGAAAAAAGGATCTGGATCTCTGTTAGACTAATAAATATAAAATCTATATGACTGTAAACAATAATTACTGTAAAACTGCATAATATCATAAAAACAGATATACAATATATAAGTATTCAAAAAAAATATATAAATGTGTCTAAAATGTAGTTTGTGAAACAAACATCAAACCAATACAATAAAAATAGAATCAAATAGATAAGAATACTAAAAAGATTATATAATTAGCATCATAAATCTGCATAAATGAATATATATGATAAAACTGTAACAATATTAAAACAAATGGATAAAAAGTAACCAAATATATCTATATATAATATAGAAACAAATGGATAAAAAGTGACCGACTATGTCTATATAAGAGGAGTTATGGTAAAAATATTCTGTAATAATGGACATATAAAAGAAAAAAATCCTAAGAGATAATATAACATAATGGGACAATTATCAACTATTATTAATAAAACAATTTATGTCGATATCGACATTATGGCCACTCGGATGTAAAGTGCTTAACACATGTATCCAACGTGTTTCAAGTTGTGAGACTGCTCGCAACTTGTTAGTACTACCCTCCCCAATGGGGTTTGACTATATCGATATCCACAAATTGCAATGATGATGGATCCTTGTTGTGTTTCCGTCTATAGTGGTTTGACAGTGAGTGCTCTTTATAACCACGTTTAATATTATTTACATGTTCTCTCAATCTGTCTCGTAAACATCTGGTAGTGAGTCCTATGTATTGCAGATTACAAGGACATTCCAAAAGATATACAACATACTTGCTATTACACGTGATACATTTATCAATATTATAAAGATCTCCCTGTCACTTGTGAGTTAAATGTGGATTTTTTATATTTCCTCCTATTGTTAAATGTGGAAATAATGCATTTGTTGCAAAAAAAAAAAAAACCCCTTAAAAAAAAAAGAAAGAAATTCTTTTTGGTGGGTTAATACCATTAAGCGCTAAAACGGTGACGTAAGGCCATAACCTTTCTGAAAATGATTTCTGGTTTATCCAGCAGTATCTTAGAAAGGACAGGATCTGTTTTTAGAACACCCCAATTTTTATTAATAATCCGATTAATGGCTCTATGTTGTGTAGAATATGTAGTTATAAAAGGACACACTTGGGTCCGTTTTTATATTTCTTTATCTTTTAATAAATCATCCCTATCAGTTCCTGCTACCAAATCAATTGTGTAATTTAGGATATGTTCATAATGAATATATCCTTTCTCAAGAAATTTCTGTTTTAGAGTTTGAGCCTGCAAATGGTAAGAATCAAGGTCTGTACAATTTTTTTCTAATTCTTAAAAATTGTCCTTTTGGCCCCCATAGCAATGCCTTTGGTTCGTAAAAAGTATTTCTGGTCAAACCAAAAGTAATAATTTTTTTGCATGGAAAACTAATAACTGTAGAATAAAATTGATCTGAGGAGGTGATAAAGTGCTCAGTGCTTCTAGGTAAAATTTTGCTGCTTCCATTCCATCTGCATGTGCAATGTTGCTATAAAGAGAGGTGACGTCTGCCATTACTAGGAAAGTGCTAGAGGTTATTGAAATATCCTTGATGTCATTTAATATGTGTTTGGTATCATGTAAGTAGGCAGGAGTTTGTGAGACTAATGGCTGCAGGAAGTAATCAATATACTCCCCTGCTTTTGAGCAGAGCGACCCTATACCACTTACTATTGGTCTACCTGGGGGTTTAAGAGGATCTTTATGAATTTTTGGAAGGATGTAAAAAAACGGTAATTTTGGTGCTGTTGGACATAGAAAATCTCTCTCTTTTTTATTTATCACACCGTCTTTAAACCCCTTTTTGATAATATCTTTAAGACCTTGTTTGAATGTCGGAAGAGGGTCATTAGGCAGAGGAGTGTATGTAGTGGTATCCCCTAGGATATTACACACTTCCCCTATATAGTCCGTTTTATTTAGTATGACCACACCCCTTCCCTTCTCAGCTGGTCTGATCACTAGATCTTTTCTTTCTAAAAGTGATTCTACTGCTATGGTGGACTGGGACATAGAGGGTTGTTTAAACTGGGACCAGTTATTTAAACAAATTGACATGGAAACGTGTTTGGGGGGGTGGATTATATGTAGAAGTGTTCCTTAGATTGGAATAATTAGAGGTGTTAGTATTGTTACGTTTAATAGGGTTGGTATAGAAATATCTTTTTAAGGAAAGTTGTCTGGAAAATTTATGAATGACGATGTAGGTCTGAAACTTGTTCATTTTTTTATTAGGAGCAAACCTCAGACCTTTATCTAAAAGTAGTAACTCTTGTTGTGTTAACACAGTATCACTTAAGTTAAAAATGCCTTTACCGGCTACATCTTTCTTTTTTTCCAGGCCTCTGTTGATCCTCGTTCCCCCTCTTTTTGCCCTATGGATCCACTTCTTTTGTGGATTCTTCCTTCCCCTAAAAAACTAACCTGGGTGTTTCTATTTGTAAAATGATTATACGATGTACTAGGAGGGGTATCTGGATAATTTGAACGCAAAGTATTATGTTGACTTTTCCTATATTGACCCAATGGTCCTTATCTCAGAATCCCTGCCTGGACTTCTAATGGTACTTTCAGAATCCTTTCCAGGACTTCCAGGGTTCCCAGTAATAATGCTGGGTATGTCCTTTGGGTATTTAAGGTGTAACAAAAGTCCATTTTTTTTTTCATTTTGGATGAGTATGCCATATATGTGCCATTGGGAAAATTTCACTTCCCTCCAAAGTGAGGAAATCCCTGCCTGCCTAGACCTATGCTCAGACCTGACTATTCTCTTGCCTGATGACTCCCCCAATCGCTACCTGGACCTGACTACTCTCTCATCTGCAGTACTGTGAACAGTCTCCACACTGTAGCCTCTGTGTTCCAGCCACCCCCTTGGTGATGCAATCCTGAGGTTCGCTGCCTGATTTCAGTGTGCAGTAAAGTAAGCCAGGACCACTAGGTCCTGCAAGAAAGAACATAGTCAAGTCCAAGCAAAGGTCTAGGCGGACAGCAGGCAAGAGAGTAGTCAGGTCAAACTGGGTTGGCAAAAAACAGAAAACTGGTAGGACATTATTATAGCTCTTTAGCCACCAGATAGCTGGATTTAAGACACAGCTTCAGCCAGGGTTGGCCCACCTCCTCCATCCGGATATCTGGTGAAGTACATCTACCCTCATCATCTGCCAGTGGGCACCAAAACATGATCCCCACTCTGTCTAAAAAAAAAAAAAAAAATGTTTTAACTGTACATTTAAATCTTAGCCCTTAACCAGTTCAATACCATGCAATTTTACACCTTCCTGCCCAGGCCATTTTTCAGGTTTCAGCGCTCTCACACTTTGAATGGCAATTGCGCAGTCATACAATACTGTACCCAAACTAAAATGTTATCATTTTCTTCACACAACTAGAGCTTTCTTTTGGTGGTATTTAATCATCGCTGGGGTTTTTATTTTTTGCTAAATTAACAAAAAAGACCAAAAAAAAAAAAAAAAAACACGTTTTTCTTTGTTTCTGTTATAAAAGTTTGCAAATAAATAATTGTTCTTCATAAATTTAGGCCGAGATGTATTCTACTACATGTCTTTGGTGAAAATAACCCAAATTAGGATGTATTTTTTAGTTTGTAGGAAAGTTATAGAGTTCACAAACTATGGTATAGATCTGAATATTGATCAATCCT